GCGGCTGGTGCGCGCGCTCTGCACGCCCGGCTACAACGCCCGCGCGCCCCTGCACTACCTGGGCCCGACGCTCTCCAACCTCAGCCAGCTGCCCGCGGCTCGCGCCTTCCTGCTGGACCCCGACAGGTGACGCCGGGGCGCGGCGGCGCGGAGCGGGCGGAGGCGAACGCGGCGGGCACTGAGCGGTCCCCCGCTGCAGGTGCGTGGTCCCGCGGCTGCTGCCCCTTACACAGTGCTCGGCCTCCTCGGTGCGCCGGGGCGGCGTGGTGGGGACGCTTCGGAACTGCTGCTTCGAACACCGTGAGTGGGGGCGTGGGGGGTCGGTGCAGCGGGAGGGAAAGGGGGGAGACGACCTTTCCGGACTTTACCGGGTCCTTGCCTCCCCCTGCACCCAGGGTATCACGAGTGGTTGCTTGGGCCAGAAGTGGACATTCTCCCCTTCCTGCTGCTGCCCTTGGCTGGGCCTGAGGAGTTCTCGGAGGAGGAGATGGAGCGTGAGTGCCTTGGGCTGGGAGGCCAGGAGCGGCCTGCGAACCAGTGACCCGAGGGCCCCGGAAACCTAGCCGGGCGTTGGGGACCCCTCAGACTCGGGCCCACCAGTGCCCACTTCGCCCTAGGGCTGCCTGTGGACCTGCAGTACCTTCCTTCAGACAAGCTGCGGGAGCCGGACGCCGACATCCGGAAGATGCTCATCGAGGCCATCATGCTGGTGAGCAGCGCCCGGCCTGGTGGGCACCTCCCCTCGCGGCTGACCCCTGGGTGACCTCTGCCTTTGCAGCTGACTGCTACTGCCCCTGGCCGGCGAAAGGTGAGGGACCAGGGCACCTACTTGATCCTGCGTGAGCTGCACGGCTGGGAACCAGAGCCTGACGTGCGGGTGGCTTGCGAGAAACTCATCCAGGTGGGTGCAGGTTTGGGGGGTGTCTGTGGCGTGCCGGCCAGCTGCTCAGCTGTCTCCCCTGCTGTAGGTGCTCATCGGGGACGAGCCGCAGCCCGGCATGGAAAACCTGCTAGAGGTGCGGGTACCTGACGAGGTGGAGCGGCAGCTGCAGCAGCTGGACTGCCAGGAGCAGGAGCAGTGTGAGCAGGAGCGGCGTGAGCAGCCGGCTCCTGGGCCACAGTCAGGGGCCAGTGTGCCCAGCTGAGGCCCTGCAGCCCCCAGCCCACCAGTGCCGGCCTGCCCCGCACTGCTGACCCCGGGCACCCTCCGGGACTCTAAGCAGAGCCCCGCGTAAGCAGCAGGCCGGGGCTGGGGAGAGCTGTCGTTGAGGCCTGCGCTGGGAGGATGGCCAGGCACACTGGTCAACCAGAGCCCACCAGGCCTGCGTTGGGATGGCCAGCGCAGCGTGAGCTCCTGCTGGGCGAGGCGAGGGACCTGGCAGGGAAGCATGGGGAGCCCCGAGAGAGCCCTGCAGCGCCCCAGTGCCACAGGCCTTAGACCGGGCGTAGGTGGGCGTCCAGGTTCAGTGCCCCTGGCTGCCGGTTCCAGCCAGGACCCTGCGCTCGCCCGGCCTGCGACCAGCCGCGGAGGGCCGACCCTGACTGTCCAGCCACCGCCTGTCCTAGGGCCTCCTGGGTCACTGCCCAGCCCAGCCCTGCCACCCTCCCCAGGCTCTCGGGAGCCCCTCGCCCAGCACCCCCTGAGCCTCCCAGAGGAGCCGCCCCCCCACCTGCTGCGCCTGGAGCTGGTCCCCCGGCTTCGGTGTGGCCCCATCTCCGCAGCGCCGGGTCCTCCACGCCTGCGCTTCTGACTTGGACGCCGGCTGCCGGCCCTGCCAGGGCGCAGGCTGCCCCCCTGTGCCCGCCCTCGTGCTGCGCCTGCCCCCGGGGCCTCCATTAAAGCTCTGGCTGCAGCTGCGTGTTCTGTTTGCCTCTGGATGTGCCCTCAGCCGTGGCCCGCACTAGACTGGCACCCGACTCCGCAGGGTGAACGCTTTATCTGGCCCCTCGCAGCCCTCAGTTGACCAGATAGGGCCCGGGCGCGCTCCCGATGGCCAGCGTGGAGCAGAGCGGCAGCGGCTGCCGCAGGGTCCCCGGCCCCGCCCGCTC